TATTTACAGTCCCAGCAGCAAAGAACGCATCTAATAGATAAAGAATGTCTAACTCATCAAGGATTCCTTCTTCCTTTTTGCGAAGAAAATTTCTAATAATACAAGGCTTCTTCTCTTTATCATTCTCAACTTCTTTGATCAATCCTCCAAGAAAAGCTTCAATTTTTGTTCTATTTGCTATTATTTTATTACGTAAACTAGTGTTTGGAATTAATTTCAATATAGGAAAAAATTCCGATAATCTATTTGTCACTTTAACAAGAGCCATATGTTCTTCCATCACAGTTTCAAATTCAGTATAAAATGGATCATTAACAGTTTCTGTGCGCTTGCTTAAACATAAACGGGTTATAATGTTTAAACTTGCGAGTTGAAAACATTGTTTAGGATAAAAACCATCCTTCGCATCGGTTGAAGTTTTACAAATGTTTTGCATAAGTATACGAAATTCACTAGCGAGTAAATCAGAATTTTCTTTTACACTGCGCTGACCCACAGCTCCATGCACTATTTTTAAATAGAATTTTACAAATATATTAAAATAATAAAATAAAGCACAATAGGTAGGTTCAATTACTTACTAATAGGTGTAAGCATCCTATACCTTTCATTATATGGGCAACCAAAATAACTTTTCCTCCTAGTCAATAAATCATAAAGATAATAACTTGTTATACGGGTTGAATATTTTCCACCACCTATTGTTAAAATTCATTCAATTACTAAACTGTTAGCATGTAATGAATTAGTGTGAGACTTACGCTTTTGTAAAAGGTCACCAACAGCCTTATCGCCTGTTAATATAATCCAATATTGTTGGCCCATGTTTACACCATAAATATCGCCAAAACTTCTCGCCCATTCTGTAAATCTATTTAAATTAACAATAAAGTCATTCAATTAATTCTTATATAAACTAATATATGTTTGTTTCTCTTACTTTTTATGCGGTTCGCGTCCAACTTGAAAAAAATGGCCTACAAAAAAAAACATTTTTTTTGAGTATTTTTTTTCGTCCTAAAGTCACTAAAGTCTCATAATCTGTCCGAACATTTTTTTCCTTTGCCACTTTTTTTATTTATGACAAGCATTCCCAGTTATATCTTTTGTATTATTTCTTGCAAACATAAAATTATTATATTACATGCCCTAAATCTTATTTTGCACGTAATAGCAAAATTTCCAGGATTTACGATAGAGCAATGGAGAATATCTATTCTATTTTATACTA